CTGAAAGATGGTTTCCTATTTTGACAGATTCGTTCACGATGAGAAAATAAAGACATGTACCAGTCTTATCTTTAAAGTACCAATGTGGAGCATTCTCATTGTCAGGGATGTTGTGTTACATTGCGTGATGCAGTTTAAACATTTTAACCTAGGTGTGTTAATATTATAATTTTGTGTTAAAAACCATAACATCAAGGTTGTTGTTGATCATAAAGTCTTAATGGGATGTAAATGTAAATTAAGGTTTATGAAGAAGAGATAATCTGTTAATATGAAACATGGAACTTTGTGAGTCCAACTACTTAAACTGCAGCTGTGGTAAAAGAAACATAAAATGTTGCCTGAATGGCTGAATTTCCATCAGAAGATTTAAATGTAACATTGTCGTTACAGGTTTTTAACCATGCTGGTTAAAAACCTGTCACAATCTTGTTTTTAATTTTCATCCATTAATGAATGATTTAATACGAAATTGTAAAGTTGTTCCATTTTCTTATAAATAGTTGATTTGTAAACAGTTATGAATATTTGCCTTTGTTTTATCATTTTACTTTCACTTTAAACCTGAAACTCAATAACAATCCTCTTTAACTTCATAAGATATGACCCCCCCCCCCCCTTCCGCTGCAGCAGTATGAAAGGTGGTGTACACTGCTCTCTTTTCACCACTCGTTAATTCAATTCATTTTTCAAAGGGCACAGTTCAACTTTTCCAAATTTCAAATCCCCTCTCTGAACTTCTAGAGACTGACTCCCGACTTCTGCAGATAGTGAATGAATAAAACAAGGCTCCAGAAAGTTGCATTGGTTTTTAGTAGATCATTGGAGCTCTTTCTTTTTGCAACATCAAAAGCAGCCGCAGCTCTTTGATGTGGCAGCATGCTGTTTAAGGTACAGAGTGAATGGAGAGATGTCAAGCTGCAAGGTGCCTCTGTAGTTTACGTTGAGTGCTGCAGAGAGCTGCAGATGAAAGGAGCAAACAGAGTTTGATAATGAATGTCCAACAAGTAGGACCCATCTCAGACAGCGCACGCTCAGCAGGGTGCCCATGCTAACCTTGAGCGCAGCACCCCGAACCTCGGGCAGACACTGGAGACCAGACTCCATCAACCTTGGCTCTCTTGAAGACAGGAAGGCCCTCAGATGTGGGAGCTTTAATATTCCTGTCAATTAGATCCTGATTGACACCCACACCCACGTACACATGGTCACACGCATGTGCTCCCCTCAGACAGTTACCTGTACAAGAGATGCCTTCCACTTCCTCGGTTGAATGCCTCTCTTTGTGGCTCGGAGAGGCCTCCCTCCAATGTGTCAATTTCTGTACACACTGATTTTCATAAGTTAATGCCTCCATTAATCAAATTATCCACTTTTATTCATCCCCCCCTCTGTCTCTGTGATCTGTGAAATTACAGATTGTGAATGTATAATTAACAGCTTTTTTACATAACACCACTGATAAAGTGACTTTAATATATTATTATAGTATAGTTTAGTAAGTATTTCATAACCTTGTAACAAAACATTCTCAATGCTTGTGTTAAA